GCCTGGGCAAACAGTTCGTGAAACACTATCTTGAAAAAACCCAACACACACACACAAGAAAGGGCTGGTGGAGTGGCTCAAGTGGTAAGAGCTCCTGCCTAGCAAGCATGAGTTCAAACCCCAGTACTGCCAAAAAAAAAAGAAAGTATAGCTGAGTTGAAAGGGATATAGGTGACTCTGGGAAGGTAAAGATCCATCCTATGTTTGCATGCTTCCAATAACAAGATGTTTGGTGTCTCCCAAGGGAATAGAGGCTTGTTACAGATGAGGCAACCAGTGTCCTCATGTCCAGCCACGCATCCATCTGCCCATTCACCCACAGATATTCATCAGCTCCTCTATTAGCCATAAACTACCTTTTTGTTTTCAGGAGGCAGAGTCTTGCTTACAGTCCAAGTTGGTCTGGAAGTCCCAAGCCTCCTCTGTGCTGGGATTACAGACATATACCACTTCACTCTGATTTAAAATTGCTTCTTGAGGTTTTATAACTAAGTCCCTGGTCACTACATTGGAGAACAAAGGATCAATCAAGAACAGGCTTTGCACAAGCCAGTCTGGCTCCACAGCAAGACCCTGTCTTAAAAATAAAAAATAAATACCCAAATAACTTTGTAAAAATCAACCTTTTCTTATTACAAAAACAACATGTAAAGCTGGGTGCCAGTGGCTCACACCTACAATCTTATCTACTTAGGAGGCAGAGATCAGGAGGATCTCAGTTAGAAGCCAGACCAGGCAAATAGTTTGAGAGACCCTATCTCGAAAATACCCAACACAAAAAAGGGCTGGCAGAGTGGTTCCAGTGGTAAAACGCCTGCCTAGCAAGCACGAGGCCTGGAGTTCAAACCCCACTACCGCCAAAAACAAAACACTGGACAAGAAGACACAGCTAAACCCAAACACCTAAACTAAAAAGCATCCATAATGCCATTAGTGAGATGCAGTTTAGTTTTAAGAGGCCATTTTCACCCCAAATCTCTGTGCAATAGGGCATCTGTCCCCTGAGAACTACATTCCACATGTACCTGTCTGCTTCCTCCAGAGATTCATTGTGGAAGGAGTTACTCTTCTCTCAACTCCTGACCAAGCATGGGACAAAGTGCTGCCCTTCTAGAAAGATCATTATCCAGCCTCAACCAGCTCATGTGTCCTGTCCTCCCTCCCCTCCCCCAATGAAAAGCCTAGCAGAACCTGCCTAGCAAGTGTGAAGCCCTGAGTTCAAACTCCAGTACCACCAATAAAAGAAAGAAAAGCCTCACAGCAGAAGTAGTAACACAGTCTTATGAGTGTGACACTCTGGAAATCATCCCTCAAGACCCTAAAACCATTTCTTAACAAATTGCTTCATACTAATAATAGTAACTTTCTCTGTCTCTTTCTCTTTTAGGTACTGGGGATTGAACTCAAGCACTCTACTACTTGAGCAATGGCCCCAGCATGTTTGCTTTTTCTTTGCTTTTGAAATAGGGGCTTGTGCTTTGCTCAGGCTTGCCTTGAACCACAATCTTCCTATCTCCACCTCCTAAGTAGCTGGGATTACAGGTGCACACCACCACACAGGCTAAGGGTCCTTTCTATTGTTACAACAGTTCCAAGCAAATTGCACATTATTTGCTTTTTTTAATTTATCTGTCTTATCCAGTATGATGAGGTATACCTGTATAATCCCAGCATTCAGGAGGCAGAGGCAGGAGGATTGCAAGTTTGAGGCCAGCCTAGGCTAATAGTGAGACCCTGTCTCAAAAAAAAACCCTTTTATCTTGCTTCCTGTTAGATTATAGAACCAACAATTTATATCTCTTCTGGCAGGCCTGGCCCCTAACACAGGTCCCTACCACTAAAAGATGCTCAAGGAATGCTATAGAGACTACACAAAGGTCTACACCCTCCTCTAAGAAACATCTGGATTTGAGTCTGGCCTCTGCAGATTTGTTTCTAAAGTAGGAGGTAATTTCCTTTTCCTCGCTGGTTCTACACCCATTGAGTAGAAAGGAAGGAGGAGAGGTGAGTTTGAACACAATTTCTGCTCCCATACCCATCTCTGTTTAAGTTTTTTTTTTTGGCAGTACTGGGGTTGAACTCTGGGCCTCACACTTGCTAGGCAGGCACTCTTACCACTTGAGCCTCTCCACCAACCCTGTTTTGTGTTGGGTATTTTTGAGATAGGGTCTCATGAACTATTTTGCCTGGGGCTGGCTTCAAGCCGTGAGCCTCCTGATCTCTGCCTCTGGAGTAGCTAGGATTATAGATATAAGCCACCAGCACCTGGCTTTGGCTAATTTTTTTATGAGGTTGGAACCGGCCTCTGTATGGAGAGTACTGGAACACAGAGTTCCCTACCCCACCCAGCCAGCAGAAGTCTTGATCCCACCTTTCCCTGTCTCCCTTCTAAAGAAGCATCCCCCAGACCCTCCCCTCCTTCGGTAGTTGTATCTCAGGACTGTTTCTGCAGGACTGCCACTGGGGGAAGCCCCACTGCTAAGCAGTGAGGAAACATGGCGTAGAAACAACAAATAGGCTGGGAGTAGGAGCTGCCAAAACAAACCGAACGCAAAAGGGCTGCCTGCCACCACCTCAGCTGGGCCCAGGTCAGAAGCGCAGAGACAAAAACATACGTGCAAGGAGACACACAGGCCACCCAGCTCCCTGCCAGCTCCTCACTCAGCTACTGGGAGGCTCCAGGGCAAAGGAGCCTTGAAGTTGAGGTTCATGGAGGGTGGGGTGACCCCAACAGATGTCAGCAGCCTTATCTCCCTGTCTCCCCAGTGCCTCCTGCTTTCTAGCCATCTTGTGTTCCTCCCATCCCACAGCACACCCTGTGTATTCATGAATCACCCCTGAACTCTAGCCAGATTGCCCTCTTCCCAGTTTCCCTGGCAAACTCCTATTCATCCTTCAATGCCCAGGTCAAAGGTGAAACCACTTTAGATCCTACCAGGAGTTAGCTTTTTCCATCTCCCTATGTGATTTCCATATCATAGCTGCTCTTATTTCTTATACATCTTACTCAGAGAAAAATGTGTCCACCACTCCCATTAGATAGCAAGCGCCTTCCATAGCAGCCATGTCATATGCACAAGCTAGGGGAAGGGATTTTGATCAGTTAGGAATATGATTTTTATTATTATTATTATTTGGTGGTACTGGGGTTTGAACTCATGCTTGCTAGGCAGGCACTCTACCACTTGAGCCACTCCACCAGCAGGAGTCTAAACTGTTATAACTGGAGTAAATTTCAGTTACTAACCCTTAGTCTTTCCAACTCTTGTGACCTTGAACAGTAAAAAATAGAAATTATATCATCATTGGTACAAATGTATATAGTCTCCTCTTGGTATCTGAGGGGGGGATTGATTCCAGAAGCCCCTTGCGTATTCCAAAATCAAGTCCAAAGTGTCCTGGCATGGTATAAGAGTCAGATGTGATGGCACCTGACTTTTTAATCCTAGTACTTGGGAGGCTGAGACAGAAGGATAGAGTTCAAGGCTAGCATGGAACATACAGCAAGATCCTGTCTCAAAAAAATAAATTTTAAAAAGCTGACTGTGGTATAATCCCAGCACTTGGGAATTGGAGCCAGGAGGATTGCAAGTTTGAGGCCAGCCTGGGACTCCATAGTGAGTTCAGGGCCAACCTGAGCAAAAGTTAGAAATAAACAAACAAACAAGGCATAAGGTTTGCATAAAATTTACCCACACCCTCCCATGTACTTTAATCATCTCTAGAGGACTTACAATTCCTAATAAGATATAAATACTATGTACTTAATATCCTACTCTGTTTAGGGTATAAATGACAAGTCTGTACATGTTCAGAAGAGACCTAATTTTTCCCCCCCAATGGGACTAGGGTTTGAACTTGGCTTTGTCCTTGAAAAGCAGCATAGTATTTTTAATTGAATCTGAGGATACAGAGCTTGTGAAATGAAGGGCCAACTATACATACATACATAACTAAAGAAGTTTCATTAAAATACGATTATTTAAATTGTACTTTTTGTGGGGTAGTGGCGCACACATATAATCCCAGCACTCAGGAGGCTGAGACAGGAGGATCACAAGTTCAAGGCTAGCCTGGGCTACATGGAGACCCTGTCTCAAAAGAATGAAAATAGCTGAGCATTGGTGGCTCATGCCTGTAGCTACTTGGGAAGCAGAGATCAGGAGGATCGTGGTTCAAAGCCAGCCCAGATAAACAGTTCTTGAGACCCCATCTCCAAAATAACAGAGCAAAACTGGACCTGAGGTGTGGTTCAATCAGTAGAGACCTGCTTTGCAAGCGTGAAGTCCTGAGTTCAAACCCTAGTTCCACCAAAAATAAGTAATTAAAATTAAAAAGGCTGTGATCCAGTGTGATCTCAAGGCCTACAAATGGGTCACTACCGACTCTGATAAACATTGAGATGGCTCTAGTTTGGTAAATGTGAAAAATCAGGTCATTCCATAAATACCAGAATGAATGTATATCTTTCTCATGTGCCTAATTATTCAGGGGAGACATCTTTTTTTCCCATGAACAGCCCAGTCAGAAGGACCTGAAGGACTCTGGACTACAACTGCCCAGAAGCCATTTGGGCTTTAAAGGAAACAGTCAAAACAGTCAGTTCCTCACACAGCCTGACATTAAGGGCACCACAAAGTGTTATCACTTCTTTCATTCCTTATACCCTCACCTTTCCTGTGCCTGGGAACCATCACCAGAGACACTTGGCACATACCGACTGTCCAGTTAGCCCAGCTGCATCTCACTCTGCAGGAACAAGCAAACACTGCACCCACCCAGTCTTCTGTGAAAGAATGAATAATTTTACGGCAGCTATTGGGACTGCCAGGCTTCTGCACGGTACTAAATAGCTGTTTTCACACTACACTGTCTGCCGTATAACCTATGTTCCCTGTAAAGACAGGACACATCTGGGTTCCTAAACACTTGTAAAGCTTCCAACTCTCCCTCATCAGGTGCCCATGGAATTACACAGGAAGAGGCAGTGGCAGCGAATGGCAGAGCACCAACAAAACTTGGTACTTTTTATTTGACAGGACAAGGAAGATCCACTGTTTGGGCCCAACAAGGGCCAATACCTCTCTGTCCTCAATTCAGAGTTTTTTAGGCTGAGTGAACAGGCCTTTTCTTACATGACTCTGCCAGGCAGAGTCCATGACAGAACTCACACCAAGAGCCACATCAGGACCTGGCTATGTGTGTGTGAGGGGGAGCCGATAGACAAGGGGGGCTAGCTTCGTGTCAATTACTTGGGCGTGACCCTGAAGACTCGGATGTGGATGGCGGAGTTGTTGCGGATTCGAGTCAGTGGCTCTCGTGTATCAGTCTCTGGTTCCAGCTCATCCACCAGCTCCACGGTGGAGGTATTGGCAGCCACCTGCAAAGAGCCAAAGCTGCCTGCCTGCAGCTGCAGGGCGATGTTGATAGCACGGTTGATAGCCAGGCCCAAACCATGAATGTAGATCTCAGTGCATGCGTTCTGACCCCGCGCCCCTCCGTCCAGCAGCTTCTGACAGCGGGCCAACTGGGCCTTAAAGTCAGTCTTCATGTTGACATAAATGTCATTGGGCCGCCGGGGCAGGCGGTGGGGTAGCCGTTTCCGAAGGGTGTATTCCACCGGGTCCAGCTCAGCCTCGACGGTGCCGCGGGGCTCACGGTTTTCAGCCATGCTGTGTGTGTCCTGGCATGGGAAACGGACGGCAATTATTAGGGTCACAAGTGACCTGGCGTGTATTAGGGTCACAAGTGACTTGGCGTCCTTTTCTACCGAGTTTCCCGTGAAAGGGTGCACGTGGGAGGGGGCGCGCTGGACGCCCCTCTCCCCTCCCAGTCTCTCACTACCCCAGTTCCAATCCATTCATCAAGTTGTCCCCATCCTCACGCCCCTCCACCATCCCCTTACCCGGATCTTCCGCGCCTTTCCTTTCTGCTCCGCTGTGCCCTCCACGCGCGTGCAGCTCGTTCCCGTCAAGCCCCTCGCGGGCTCGCGGACCGCCCCAACTCGAGGCAGCTAGCGGGTACCTCCAACTCCTAGGGACTGCAAGGAAATCCGATCCGAACAAGCACGCTAGATCGCGATTCCCGCATGCGCAGTCTCCCTGAAAACGACTTACGTCTGCGCGGTCCGCCTTCCCGGCCTCCGTTCTCAACCGCCCCTTCCTGAGTTCTCGCGCGACTTGCACGAGGTGCTTGAGCACCGCGAGGCTTCCGGGCCACACGGGATCTACACGTGTATGCCTCGGAGGCGGGGCGGGGTGGCAGGGAGAGGGGCCAAGAGGGGCGGGATTCCTGGACCAGTCGGAGGTCCCAGCCACCGAGCGGTCCTGCGAAGGATCCTGGCGCGAAGCTATTCTGGGGGGGCGTGGAGAAGTCTGGGGCAGAGGGTCTGGTCCGCTAGCAGGGCGAGTTTGGGAGACCGTGATTGCGAAGCGACTAAAGAGAAGTCTTAGACTCTGCGCCCATCGCAGTTGGGTAGAGCGGGGTGGGCAGAGCCAGAAGAGCTGATCCCTGTAGCACAAGGGCGAAGCGGGTTGGGGGGGGGCTGGGGGGGAGTGGATTGAGATAAAGGCCAGATCCCCACATCGCTGGAGAGCCCCCTGGGGACTCCCCTGCTATTCATGGGTCCCCTCTGTGCGGAAACCCAGCCTTGGCGGCTACCCGTCACACCCCCCAATCCTCTCCCCAGCTCTTCGGTTGCCATCCACCACGCGGGAGCAGGGACATGCCGCCCCCTGGCGGGCAGGGCAGGGTGACCACGCGGGGTTTGGGGATCTGGGCCTAGATGGGTAAAGCTTCTGGACAGTTCCCTTTCGGACTTTGCCTAACACTCCGTTTCACTTCCCCATCAAACGGTGATACTAACTCCTATCTGTCTTAGTCTTGTGAACCCAATGTAATCTTGTAAACTGTAAGCCTACACTTACGAGTTGGCGTGTTTACGTCCCCCCAGACCCTTCTCCTGTTGCCTAGGGCGGAGTCTAACTTCATCTGACGGAAGGTTTGAAAAAGAACTTTGCTCCCAGCACCCTCTAAGTTCTGTAGTTTTCTTCTTTAGCTTCAGATTCTTTCCTTAACCACAAGTTTGGGGTTTATGTTGAAATTTAAGATTCGACATAGTAGAAATACCAATTCTTTCCAAATGAATCTATATGCATAATACAATTTCTGTGAAAATCTCAGCAACAGATTTTGTGGCTACAGATACATTTAGTCTAACATTTATTATGAAAAGGCAAAGGAAGTAGACTAGCTGAAACAATTTTGAAGTTACTGGAATCACACTACCTGATTTTAATTCTTAATATATAAATGCAGTAATCACGGACCTGGCACAGTGGCTCACATCTGTAACCCCAGATGCATGGGAGGCAGAGATAGGGAGGATCAAGGTTTGAGGTCAGCTCCAGCAAAAAGTGAATGAGACCCCCATCTCAACCAACAAGCCGGGTGTGGTGGGCATGCCTGTGCTTAGGGTCACAGCAGGACCCTATCCAAAAAATAACCTAAAGGCAAAAAGGGCTTGGAGGAGTGGCTCAAGTGGCAGAGCAGGCACAAGGCCTTAAGCTGAAACCCCTATACCAACCCCCCCTGAAAAAAATCAATAATCAAAAAAGTGTGGTATTGACAGAGAGACAGGCACAAAAGTAAAATAAAACAGAAAACCCAGAAACACAAGTACAGTCAACTCAACTCATTTTTGACAAAAGTTCAAAAGCAGTTGTGTGGGACTAGAGGTGTGGCTCAAACTGTAGACCATTTGAGCCTGGCGTTCAAACCTTGGAATCACCAAAAAACAAAACAAAAAAATCAAAAGCAGTTTAGTAGGGGAAAGATGATCTTTTCAACAGTGGTGCTGAAATAACTGAACAAAAAGGCAAAGAAATGAACCTCAGTAATATAAAATGGATGATAGATCTAAATACAAAAATCTGAAACTATAAAACATTTAGATAGCTGGTAGAGTGGCTCAAGTGGTAGAGTGCCTGCCTAGCAAGTGTGAGGCTCTGAGTTCAAATCCAAGTACCTCCCCCCAAAAAATTTAGATGAAAATGTACCAAAATTCATGAGGTAGGGTCAGGTGAAGAGTTCTTAACCCAATCCATAAAAGAAAAACATGATAAACTGGATTTCATCAATATTTCAAAAACGTTTGCTATGTGAAACAGAAGCCACAAACTGGGAGAACATATTGGCAAGTCACATATTCAACAAAGGACTTATATCTAGAATATATAAAGAAGTCTCTAAACTCAAGTTAGAAAACAGCTGGGTGTGGTTGCACATACCAGAGAGAGAGAGAGAGAGAGAGAGAACAAACAACCCAACCCAGCTGGGCACCTAGCTACTCGGGCAGCAGAAATCGGGAGGATCCCACTTTGATGCCAGCCCCAGCAAAAACTTCGAGAGACCCCATCTCAACCAGTAAAAAGCTAGATGTGGAGGCACATGCCTGCCATTCCAGTTATGCAGGATGAATAACTAGGAGGCTCTCAGGCCAGGCCAGCTTGGGCATAAACTTGAGAAGAACAAATCTCGAAAATAAGCAAAAGCAAAAAGGGCTGGGGCATGGCTCAGGTGGTAAAACACCTGTGTAGCAGGTGCAAAGCCCTGAGTTCAACCCCAGTAGAGTCACAAAAAGTTACTAAAAAAATGCAAAAGGTGGTAGAAGGGCAGTGAATGAGCATATTCCAAGATGTTCAGTGTCATCAGCTATTAGAGAACTGCACAAATGAACCATGAGGAGCTAGCACTATATCCTTACAACAGCTAAAATACAAAACCCTCCATTACTAAGTATGTAGATGAAGTGGTTTCTCACACGCTGCTCGCGGAAAGGTGAAATGGCCATCATTCATTTCTTCTAAAAATGAATATTCCACATGATCCAGCAAGAATACGCCTGGACATTAAAAATCCATTCAGGAATGCCTACAGCTTTCTTCTTCTGAGAAGGGGTCTTGTGAACTTTTTGTCTAGGCTGGCCTGGAACCTTGATCCTCCTGATCTTCACCTCTCAAGTAGCTAGGATTACAGGCGTGAACCACCGGCACCCAGCTGACAGCAGTTTTGTGTGTGAGACAGTGTGTGTGAGTATTGGGGTTTGAACTCAGGGTTTCACAGAGCTAGGCTTGAGCCACATCCCCAGCTCTAATAGCAATCTTTAGTTTTTTTTTTTTTGAGACAGAGTGTCATTATGGAGCCCAGCCTGGCCTTGAACTCTTGAGCCTCCTGCCTTCATCTCCTGAGTACCGGGATTGCAGATATGCATCAGCACACCTGGCTTCAGCAATTTCATCTATAATAGCCCCGACTGGAAACAACCCAGATGTCTTTCGATCAGTGAACGGTAAAACAAATATAGTGTGTCGATGTCACCAAATACTACACGGCAGTGAGAGCTGAATCAAGGAAACCTGTTGAGCTGTTAGAATTATTACATATTATGTAATATGTATATTACATAACACTGTGCTAAGCAGTTCATTCCTTGGTATGAAAGACAAGATGGTCAAGACATTGTGAACTGGGAATGGAGGAGTGGCTCAAGTGGTAGAGTGTCTGCTCAGCAAGCATGAGGCCCTGAGTTCAAACCCCAGTGCCCCGAAAAAGTAATAATGATGTGAACGGTGCTAAGAGGGAAGGAGCATTTACAGCAACTGATGGAGGTTCCAAGGTTTTCTAAAGGAAACTGAGACAGGAATGTCCAGCAGTGGGGCCATATCCTGTTATAATGGGCAGGTATTGAAGGGCTGAAGCCTGGGAGGTTGAGGAGAAGAGGAGGAACCAGCAAAGGCCTGAGAAGTAATAGCCCCTGAGGCAGGAGAAAAACCAAGGGAATATGGTGTCCTGGAAGGCAGGTGAAAAAAGCATTTCTGGAGAAGGGAGGGACCAACTGTGCACTAGATTGCAGACAAGTCATATAAGATAAGGGACCATTGGGTTTTGTAATGTAGAGGTCATTGGTGACTTGATATCAGTATATTTGGTGGACCAAAGAATTTAGCTCCTGCCAGAAAGTAATTCTGAATGTAGTAAGTTAATTTTAAGGCCCATTATGTTTGATAATTAACAATAAACACAGTTCATGAGCTGTCACTACATGACTCAGGTTTTTTTTTTTTTTTTTTTTGCAGAGCTGGGGCTTGAACTCAGGGCCTACACCTTGAGCCACACCACCAGCCTTTTTTTTAATGGTTTTTTTCGAGATGGGGTCTCATGAACCATTTTGCCCATAAGCCTCCTGATCTTTGTCTCCTGAGTAGATGGGATTACAGGTAGGAGACACCAGTACCCAACAGGTTGTGTATTCTTTTTATATTTAAAATATGTTTTGGAAACTTTTGATAGTACTTGAGATTGAACTCAGGGCCTCATGAACTAGGCAAGTGCTTTATCATTTGAGCCTCCAGTCCTGCAAACTTTACTATGTAGATAAGTATAAATGTTTGCCACCAAGGCAGTGAAACCAGGTACCAGTGGCTCACACCTTGAGATCAGGATGATCAAGGTTTGAGGAGAGCCTGGGCAAATATTTCTCAAGACCCCATCTTCAGAGCAAAATGGACTGGAGGTGTGGCTCAAACAGTAGAGCACTTGACACAAAAGTGAAGCCCTGAATTGAAACCCCAGTGGCTTCAGTAGCAGGGCACTTGCCTAGCATGTATGAGCCCTGAATTCTGGGAGTGGGGCATTAAAATGAAACAATAAAAAAAGAAAGAAAAAAGGAGGAGCAGCTAGGGCACATGGCTCAAATTGTAGAGCACCAAACAGGAGTCCCTGAGTTCAAACCCCATACCACCCCCAAAGGGGGGTCACTGAACTGGCCACCATAGCTGATGTCTATAATCCCAGTTACTAGGAAGGTGGAGGCAGGAGGATCTCTCAAGTTCATAGCAAGACCCTATCTCAGAAACAAAAAGCCTAGGAGCTGGCTCAAGTGGTAGAGTGCTTGCTGGATAATGAAGTCCTGGGTTCCACTCCCCAGCCCAACAACTCCTATCACCCTGCACTGTCCTATTCTCAAACCTAAGCCCGCCCACTTTTCCTGAACCCACCAATCAGTGCCTCTCCCTCCTGCTCAGCGCAAAGCAACCTGTCTCTCTTGTCTGGCTCCACCGCATAAAGGCTCTCCATTTTTCCCTATCCACCATAACTCACAATCTCACAGTTGCTTATCAGCTATTAAAACATGCTAAGACCTTAGCGGTTAGG